AGGTTCCTGTAAGCTTCACATGGAATGCCATACTCTTCCTTTTAAAGATGAATGTGAAAAATGTTTTGTTGCCATGTCCAGTAAAGATGTTGAAAGGATTGAAATATTTAGCTCTATATTGACAAAGGTAAATTAAGTAATACTTGTTCCTCAGTTTACATTTTTCTTTGTTGTTTAGCATGAAATTACTGAAAAGAAAATACTTAATGGAGGTAGGCCAGTATCTATATAATTAATTTATTTTCTGTAGATTCCTTCTCATCAGAAGATGCTGCTATTGTATCAGAAAAATTGACTGAGCTTTCACCTGAAGGAGCCAAAGCTGTTTATAGTGAATTAATAGGAACCAGCTCAGATAAAGACTGGAGAGACTGGAGAGTCTTCCTGCAAATGATATTTACCTGGGAAGAAGAGAATAAAGATAAGAGACAATTTTTATTAAAGCTTCGGTCAATAACTTTTGCTGATGAATCAGATGCTGATAAAATACAACAAATTGTTAATAGTCATATCAAAGGTCAGTTTGATTATGAGTTTGGAACTAAAATTGTGGCATAAACTGTGACATTTATTTTACAGCAGCTATATATATTTGAACTGAATTCATTTACTATTAATGTCACTGGCACCACTTTGTTAGCTTTAGTATAAAATAAGAATGCATAAATTGTCATATGAAATACAATGGTCTCAAGAAATTTATATATTTTTGAAAGATAAATGATCATTAAAACCTGTGCATTTAATCATGTGTTCCATTTTCTTTGTCAGTTTGTTGTATTTTTATGGCTATAATCTAATTTTTACCAAGAGTAATTATCCACTTTTGTTTTTACTGATAGGATATTATCAGGATTCATCACCTTCAGAACCAATTAAAAATGCTTTATATTTAGCTAATCGACAACTACAAGCTAAAGAGCAGCTTATACAAAAGATGATGGCAAATATTGGTTAGTTTTTTCTTTAAACTAAATTCAATGCAAAATACAAGCTTCATATGGTCATTCCTGTTTGCTTTTTTAACCAAATTTGTACACTTCTAACATTAATTTTGTTTATTTATGTAGAAAAACTTGAAAAAAATGTTGCTCTCACTAAAGAACAACTAAAGGAGCTGTTGAAAGAAAAAGAACAAATATTTGATATTATAACTGGTTGGCGCTGTTATTTCATATTATAAATTATGTTATATTCATTAGATTATGATAAGGAACGAAAAGCTAATCTTGCAGTTAATGAATTACCTGTAATTGAAATATTGAAAAAAAAGCTACAAGATACTGGTTGGTATGATTAAACTGAGTTGCATAGACATGAGATTATTATGATGTTGGTAATGCTGGTACTGTATAAGAGGCATACAGTTTTTTTATTTACGCTGTTTACAGACTGGCACATAATGTAGCTACAAAGTCACTAATATGACATTTCAAATTTAACAAAGCATCAAATATTTCATCTATTCAAACAATAATAGTTTGTGACGAATGTTTCTATTCAGTGAAGCTTTTGTTTATTTAATCCAGTAATTATAAATGTTCTTATGCATGTACAAAGCAGTATTAGCAAGAGTAATTATTATTATTCTATTAATTTATAGACCTTAAAGAAAAAGACTTGCTAATAGCGAAACTAGTGAAGGAAAAACAAGACAGAAGCAAAGTGACTAGTTCTATTGGACTACAATTTAATTACCTGATCCCTTCAATGGGTAAGAGTATTATTGTATGACTG